TTTTATGTCATAAACCCATTTGCATCCAATCGCATTTTTATCAGTTGGCAAATAAACAAGGTCCGGTTCGATTTTTATTCAAACAATTGTATTCAATCTTCATAGCTTTTTTCCATTCCGCTGACGTATTGCTAAATACTGCTTCTGTTAGAGTTTGAGGAACCAAATTTACTTGTGCTGACAAGCCATTTATCATATTATATTGCTTCTTAGGTCCGCCAGGCTTACCATCACGAATTATTTTAGGATGACCTCCTCATCCTTTTGATTACCCTTGAAAAATATTTTCCGAATTCTCCCCCTGTGGCTGAATGTCAGAAACAACGAGCTCCTCTTGTGATTGAGTTTTTTCCATTTGGTTCTCGTTATTTAGTGCGTTTTCGTCAGATTCTTCTTCTTCACATGTAATATCTTCTCCTTCTTCAGCAGTATTAAAACCATCTTCTACCGCATCTTCATCAACGGGAACATTCGAAACATGGGAAATTCTCGAATATACTTTCTTCAAATCTTACATCACGTTTCTCAATAATGCAGTGAAATTCTTTATCATAGAGTCTGTATGCTATATTAAGTTACTCGCGTCCATTGTCACTTCGTAGAATTTTTATACCCTCCACCATACTATGGAGGGTATATTAAGTTTGTCATTCCGTTTGTAACTTCTCGAAATACTCATGTTAGACCCCACAAAGAGTATATATTCTGGATCAGCGTACAATTTTAAATCGATTCATCGATGTTCGTCTGTCAGTTCGTCTGCCTGTCTTTTGTAATCACGCTATCTTTCGAACAAAATTAGATTAAAGGCTTAAATTTTGCACACATGTATATTTTTTCAGTAGGCAGGTTAAGTTCGAAAATGAGCCGTGCCGGTTCACTTTTTGGTATAGCTCCCATATAACGGTACCTCCCAATATTCGGTATTTTGATGAATTTAGCTACATTATTCTCCGGAATTGTTTAAAATTCCGTAGTTGAAGTTCGCAATAGATTCTACAGCATATGACACAAAATTGCATATTCAGGTCGACGTCTTCGTATAGCACCCATATAACGGTACCTCCCGATATTCGAAGTTCGTAGTGGATACTAAAGCCTTTGACAAAAAATTACTTATGCAGGTCCACGTCTTCGTGTAGCCGGATTTGTTCAAATTTCGGATTTGAAGTGCGCAATAGATTATAGATCATTTGACAAAAATTGCATATTCAGGTCCACGTCTTCGTATAGCACCCATATAAAAGTACCTCCCGATATTCGGTATTTTGATAATTTTAGCCACATTTTTCACCGGAATTTTCTTTAAATTCGGTTTTGAAGTTCGCTATAGATTCTAACCATATGACACAAAATTACATATTCAGGTCCACGTCTTCGTATAGCGCCTATACAACGGTACCTCCTTATATTCGGTATTTTAATACCCCCACTATACCTTGGAATGTACATTAAAAGTGTCATTCCGTTTGTAATTTCTCAGAATATTCAAGGTGGACCTTACAAAGTATATATTATAGATCAGCAAAAAAGTATCACAAAAAAAATATATATATATAGATTCCCGTTTGTTTGTGTGTTGTAATCACGCTATCTTTCAAAAGATGCAATTTTGCACAAGAGTGCGTCTGCCTGTCTACAGGTTAATTTCGGCCATGTCGGTTCAGATTTTCGTATTGCTGCCATATAACGGCACCTCCTAAATATGGGCCACATTTTCTAACAGATTTTATTCGGTACCTTAAGTTTGTAATGGGTTCTACCTTTTGTGACCGAACATTGTCTGTATGGGTCCATGTTGCCCTATATCCCACATATAGCGGTACCTTCATATACTCAGTATTTTGCCGATTTAAGCCACATTTTCTTAGACAATCGTTCGATACTAACATTTCAAAGGTTCTCCCTTGTGAGACATCACTTTCCTTATAAAGGCCATATTTCCATACAGCCTCATATAATTGTTACCACATAAATTTGGTATTTTACTTTTAAAATTTTGCCACAATATTCAAAGAAATTGCTTTAAATTCTGTATTTAAACTTCGTATTTGTTTTTACCTCCAGTGGCAGAACATTAAATAGGTTATTTGTCCAAATTTTATCGGATTTGGTAAAAACAGGCTCTACATATATGAATATACCCTTTGTATAAGTAAATTGAATATTTCGACCATATTCGGCGAAAGTCGGTCACAATTTGGAAATATATATATTTAATTGTGTTTTAAAAAAATTAATAATTAAATGTGGGTATATTTACTATTAAACACCATAAATGGAAAGGTAATACAGGATTTACCTGAAAAATATTTGTTCAAGCAATATAACCTGAATACATTATATGTTGTATTTCACCTCCACATGACACATGTATTGTTAAATACTAATTTTGTTTTAATTCTATTAGTTGGTACAATTTTGAAAGGCTTAAATATATATATGAATGGATTTTTTTGTTTAGTTTAGTGTTTAGTAGTAAACAGTCCGACAGAGAGAACACAGTTACGCAACAGTTAAAATACAACAGTGCCAAAAGTGTCACCAATAAAGTTAAAAACAGTTAAAATATATAACAGTGTCATAAATAATATTAATGCGGTTTAAATACGATATTACTAAGTATACAACTATTTATCTATTTATTTATAAAAATATGCCTATACAACGTGAGCAATTGTCTTTGCAACGCCAAAGGCTACCAACAAATCGAGTAAATGAATACCGTGAACGCAATCCATCTGACAGGTTTAGTAATGTTATGTTTATAGCAACCAGGCGACTAAATATAAATTTCCGGGAAGAAGAACGGGACAGAGACCGAGTTTCTCGGCAATTGAGGAGGCATAACTCATTTAACCAAAGAGTTGAACAACTACGTGATGCTGTACAACATTCTCTACGCCGACAAGATGTAACATATAGGCAATTGGAGCGCGAACGAGATGCATTAAACCAACATTTTCGCGCAATGAACGATCAAGTCGTCGGAGGTTCCAACAGAAATTTGTATTTGCTGCGGAGGGCTTTGGTTCATTACACAAATTAAAAACATCAGTAAGATCACATTCTTGCGGATATATCCACATCTAACTGAAGTTTTCTTCCAAGCTTCAACATATTCATCAGAAATAATACATACAAATTTTGTAATACATGTTATAAAATTGCTCGAGGTGGAAAAATACCTTCAATATGCCTTTCTAAAGGATTACATTTCCCAGACATACCAGCTGACCTTCGTGGTTTAACACAGTTAGAAGCGCGATTCGTTTCACCTAGAAAACCCTTTATGAGAATCGTTCCTGTAGGATACAATCGCCAATGTGCTGTAGTAGGTGCCGTTTTAGCGTACCAATTCAGTTAAATACAACTCTGAATTTGCTTCGGCGAACAGTCAATCAAACTGAAGTTGTGCAAGTTCACCTTAAGCGTAGACTACAGTACGAACACAAGTTCATGACTGAAACGATAAGTCCGGCGAAGATTTACAAAGCCGCAAGATATCTTGTAAATACGGAACTCTACAAAAAACACAACATAGTTCTTTCTTGCGACTGGTTAAATAGCATGGATTTTATATAAGAACAACCCTTTGCTCTAACATTGAAGATCTCGAGCTAGTATCGCGGTTAAACAATACCAAATTCATACAAGATTATGCGGGTGAGGTAAATACACAAGAAACATTATTAGATAATAATCCTGTAAAGAATTTACAGAGAATTTCCATTGAGGGACAACGACCATTAGATATGCTCTTGGATGAGGATTCTTTGAAACTGTCCTATCCTTCAATATACAGCGGTGTTAAAAAAAAATTGCTCTGCTACTTTTGGAAAAAATTATAAGGTGTGAAGTTCGGCGTTATGACAGACGGTGTGCACGTGTGGAAAACGTTTTATATTGCTTTAGTAGCATTTCCACACGCTTGAGAAAAAAAGTTGGAAATAGACAATTTACTGCTGCTGAAATTTTACATAATTAATTATCCAAAACCTTGACGTACGATAGCCACCAGCTCATTGGGAAGAGGAAAAGAGAAATGTTTTGGCCATGATTAGACAGCTTGGACTCCCGACATTTTTATTACATTATCCGGAGCTGAATCCCAATGGCCAGAATTAATCGTTATATAGGTAAAAATTTTGGATGAAAAATATATTAATGAAGAAGAAGCAATATCTTACTCAACCCAAAAAAAATTAGAGTATGTTACGTGCCACCTCATACGACGCTATGGTGGGGTTCCAACTAGCTCAGTCGGGGCACCGTTTAGGGGTGAATTCCCAACCCTGCCACCATCAGCCCCAGGGGTCAAACAATCAAAAAGGAACACATGAAATAACAACAAACAAATCAAAATAAAACGACAAAACACATACGACCATAACACGGGAAATTGATGTTAATAATTCCCACACTTCGCCCTCCCAACCTTGACCTTTAGATCCTCCTCAAAGATTTGAATTGAATTTTATAAGGGCCCTGTTTTCCACACACACTTACCTCACTTCAACATCATCCTATTTTCCTCCCTAACAAAAAAAAAAAACACTAGCAATTCATTTTAATCTAAACACTTAAACATTAAAACAATTTATTACCTTCATTATTTTCTTGTCAGAATTCTAAATTTCTAACACCTGACACATCGATAAGTCAATACCTCGGACTACCGCCTTATCCTATTGAATTTCGGTCAACTTGGGCCGCTTTTCTAAGTTATTTCCTCACCTAAAAGATCTCTCTTATGTGGTTCTAATAACATTTGATCCCAAAATGAAAAAATTTCTAATAGGATTTTTCTGGGGTAACCCTACACTTGTCGCATTCTATCTGGCGTTAAAAACTTTTACAAACACAAATTAAATCTTATATACTAATCACTAAATACTAACATATACTTAAACTAACGTATAAATATTATTGCAGATTGTTTAAGAGTTCGGTGTTATTTTCAGATTTTCTAATCTTTTATTTATATTTTTCCCTTTTAGATATTAGTTAACTCTCGGTCTCTGGGCATAAATATTGTAACCAAAACGTTGCCCAAGGCCGGTAAGTAGCTCTTTTTTTTTCTTTTTAAATATTGTTACCTGGTCAGCGTATACTTATTTAGTTTTTATCATTTCAGGTTTTTGGACACCACGGATTTTGGCACAAGGTATACTTCTGGCTGGTGCTGGACGGACATTTCAAACACAGGACTAACTTTGCTGTCGTTCCAGTAGCCAGGTTACTTGGCTTGGCTTAAACCCTGTCATGGACACAATTATTTCCGCCAAGGAATTCAACATAAATTGGCTGACCTCCTCCATTCATAGAATCGGAGGGGTCAGAGATGGTTTTAACGGATGGTGTAAATGTTGGCGTTGCTTTAACTTGTTCGCACAACCGTATTCACACACAACAATAAAACACAAATGTTAATTAAACACAAAAACAAAATTTAATTAATTTTTTTTTGGGAGATTTTCTTCAAATATCTTATATAGCAAAATAAAAAATATCTCCTTTGCTGAACGCCAAACAAACTGCCTCGATTTTCCCCCGTTATGCCTTTTATATGGCCGCAGCCATTTACAATTTTCCGGGATTCTCGCGCAATTTTCCTGATTCATCAAATTACCTTTGTCGTGCCTACTGAGCCCTACATTGGAGTTGTATTTCTCGGGTTTATATTTTCCACCGGTTGGCAACACTGATTTCTTCAACCTCTGCAACGAGCTTAACATATCCGGTTCACTTTTCCCTGACCGGCAGAAAGCAAACACATCATGTCGGGGACTTGCTGCTAATTATTTTTTTTTTTTTTTAATAAAAAATCACATGCAACAAATCCAGTGAAAACGACGGATATGGTGATGTGCATGTTTTTTCTTTTAACAATGACTGCGAGGCTTATATAAATTATCGGGCGAGCCGTTTTGGAGATCTGGGTGACCACGAGGAATGTACAAACAAAAAAATTAAAACAGGCATGGAACAGAATACGCAGGTAAGCATTTACATGGCATAATAATTAATTGCAATACATTATTATTTTTTTTCGTTTTTGTTCCAGAAAAACCATAAGCAAGATTTTACAAATAAAATGTCATGTGAGTGTGTGTGTAATCTCAAAAGTGGCGTGGGTTCCACAAATCTATTGTTCGTGCAAGTGGTGTGAGTAATACACCTATGTGTGAGAGTGTGTTACAACACTCATTCACTCACACAATGCAACTGAGTAAATTCATGTCGTGTCATTTCTTTGAATGGATTGAATACACACCACTCATTGCGGCACTTCACGCATCACCAATGTATTGCACATTTTCCCATAACTAACGGAACTCACACAGAATTCACAGCGTCTTGGAAGTAAGTAGGTATAAATTATTTATGGTCCATATATTTCTACTACAATATTTTCTTTATTTCTAGGGAATTCTTTAAAAACACCGTTTACCTAAAAAAAACGCACTTGCGCTTCAGGTAGTGTTGTACCTTTATTGATTTCATCTGCACCTGGCGACGAAATATGGGTAACACCATACATGGTTAAAATGTCAGCCCGAACACCTTTCGTTGCAGAGACAAATGTTTTAGCCACATATACAGGCAATAAATTTTTAACTTTGTTGATGTGGGAAATAATCATAAAAATGTTTCACCGAACCAGACAAGTCACTGTGTGCAATCTGCACATCCGTGGTTTTGCTACTTGAGCAAAAAAAAGGATTCATAAATATTTTCGCAGCACAATTACAACCCATAATTTGTAGGTGAGTATTTGATTGGTGCATCTCTTCATGACCTCTGGTGTGTGTTTTAAACATGAAAATAAGTTTGTAGCAATCAATAGAAGAGATTGTGTTTTGGTTATACCCATAGTTAAAATGAATAAAAGTGATACCTGACATAAGAATTGTAAGCTATTGAGTCTACAGGCTTATAAAAAAAAATGGTTACCTGATGAAGGAAAAGTGAAAACTAATGATAATTGCGCCTTTAAAAACAATGTAAAAATGGACTGTTTAACTTATTAGCGCATAAAAATGGAATGGAAAATTATTGTTTTTCGATAGTAGATAGTTAACGTGTATAATGTGAATACGTATAATAGTAATTTTTATATACTTTTATACGTATTCACATTATGCAATGTATTGAAGAACAAATAAACTGACATTATATGATATTGAGCTTATAAAGGAAAACCCGTGAAACGACTTGGGTTTAAACAAAATAATCTTTCAATCGAAACGTATAAATTTGCAATGTTTATCAAAACAGTATATGTAATGGTTTTAGAAAAAATCCTCAGTGGGCCGTGAATATATCCGAATGGATATGCATTTATTATAATTTGCATTTAAATATTGTTACTGTTAATTTGTGAATAATCTATCGATTAAATTTAAAACACAGACATAAATTTATTCCTATAATAATTATTTATTAATTATATTTAATGTACCCTTTTAGGTCCCTTTGTTTCACATTTGAAGTGCAATTTTCACAAAAAATAACACTATATTCGGGTTATTAAAAATCGTTGTGAAAAAACTATAAATAGGCACGTGAGCTAATTATTTGAGGAGCCTTAAGAATGGTTAACTCGTCTAGATAGTTTCTGTTTTGTACAAATATGGAGGTTTTGTAGATCAGGACGTATTTTGGTGATTGCTAATCCTATATTTATTTCCATCGGATAGTCCTTTCCTTTAGATTTATAGGATCGTTTTATTTTCTTGGAGATTATAATTTTATTTCGCTCATATGTTTTTCCAACGTGGGGAACTCCCACGCCCTGTAGTCTCAAAAGCCGGGCAATAAAAAAAATATTTCTTAGTCAAAAAATATAAAAAACAATAAAATCGGTCAATAATTTCTAATATAATAAAAAAATGCAAAAGGGCCAAAAATGGACTTTCACAAACATTCATTTTAAACCTAATATTGCACTTAAATAACTATATCACAGAATTATTGCACGTTTTACATTTTAATATCCTTGACATGGAAATTTCCTATTGGTTTGCCTTGTGTTGTTTCCAGTTCATACACATTATTCCCTATCGGCCTAACGACTCTACATTTTAAAAACTTTTTGCAAAATTTGGCGTTAATATTGTTCTTGAAGTCAGATAATACGTGATTTCTTCTAATTTATAATCTGTGCCACTTGTGAACATGTTATATCCGAATAGAGCGAAGAAGGGGTTAACACCGGTTGCTGAATGCACGGAGGTTCGAAGGGCTTGTTTAATTTCCGGTAAATATAAATCCCAGTCTCGATGGTCGTTCTCAACATAGGTTCTTATAGCAGCCAATACCGATTGGTTAACTCGTTCTGAAGCGTTTGACTGAGGGGAGTAAAACGCTTTTGTTAAATCCTGTATTTTATAATTATTTACCATCTATTCGAATACTTTGGAAACAAATTGTTTGCCATTATCGCTATGAATGATCTCAGGTACGCTGAAATTGTGGAATACTTGGCTCTCTAAAAACTTCACGACATTTTGAGCGGTAGCTTCTTTCATAGTATGCAAAAACGTGAATTTTGTGAAATGGTCCACCACAATAAAGATATATGCGTTTCCCATTTTTGACCGAGGGTATTTTCCGAGAAAGTACACATATAACTTTTGAAATGGTCTTTCCGTAATGACTTCACTTCCAATGGTAGGATTCAATCATTGGTTTGACGGCTTTGTCTCTTTGCAGGTAGTACAGTTTCGTATTGTATGCTGTCTGACTTGGGAAACCATCTTAGGCCAGTAATAAAACGTCCTAAGGTGGTTCAGACTTTTATTTATTCCCTCGTGGACCGTATTGTTATAGTTATGTGCCTTTTCTATAAGAACGTAGGTGATGTCAAGTGATATCCACAATTTCCATTCGAATTCGGTTAAATCATTGTCAATATGCTTAGTTCGTTTGTAGACTTTGTTTCCATCCACTTTCAAATCCGGAAGCCCTTCTTTATTGTTCAAAATCGTTTCTCGAAGTTCAGAGTATTCCTCGTTATCAAATGCGGTCGTTTCAAAATCTAGTAGTTCGTCATGATTAATCTCTTCTATTATAATATCTGACTCTACTGGCATTCCCGATAATGTATCCGCTACCACGTTCTCTGATCCCTTTTTTGTGTTCAATCGAAAAATTATACGCTTGCAGCTGAAGTGACCATCGCGCAAGTCTGCCGCTGAGATGCTTGAGGGACATTAGCCACTTGAGACTTGCGTGGTCGGTTATAATAGTGAATTTCATTAGCTCTACGTAAGGACGGAAACGCTTTACTGCTAATACAGCTGCCAAACACTCCTTTTCGGTCACGAAGTAATTCGTTTGACACGAATTTAATTTTTGGGAGTAAAAGGCGATGGGATTTTCCTCACCCTCGTCATTCTTTTGAAACAGCACGGCCCCGACTCCGTATTCTGATGCATCGCATTGGATGAAAAACTCTCGACGGAAGTCTGGATGTCGAAGGACTGGTGCTGACGTCAGAGCTTGTTTCAGCGTCTTGAACGATTCCATAGCTTCTGTACCATCCAGCTGTTCAAAGAAACCTTCGGACTTCTCTGGATATCTTCGGTAACGCGATTCGCTGGATAGCACTAACCTTTTCCGGGTCCGTTTTCAGACATCCATTCCCGATTATAAATCCTAGATATCTGAGTTCACGGAAACAGAAAAATGACTTTTTTAGCCCTATCATCAGGTTAGCCCTTTTCAAAGACTCTGCTACTTCCTTTAATAGGCGTATGTGATGTTCAAAGTCATCCGCTATAACTATAAGGTCATCCAAATATATGAAGACATTAGATTTCAGTCTTCCCGGTATCACTTTATCCATCAGTCTGCAAAGTCTTTGAGCCGCATTACGTAAGCCAAACGGCATTACCCGAAATTGGTATAGCGTTCGACCTGGAACAGTGAAGGCAGTGTATTGTTTTGCTTCCTCTTCTAACTCTATTTGCCAAAAGGCATATTTCAGGTCGACGCTGCTTATGTAATGGGTCTGATCTATTCGGCTAAGGGTACCATCTATATTCTGCAGCGGATAAGCGTGTTTTACTGTTAAGCCATTAAGCTTTCTGGCATCCAAACAGAATCTGTTTTTACAAGGTTTCCGCACTACCGTTGTTCGATTGCTCCAAGTTGAGTCACTCTCCTCTATGACCTTCAAAGCGAGCATATTATCAATCTCTTTGTACACGATCTCTTGTACCGTTGGCGACAGGGGATAATGTTTATCCTTTACCGGGTTTGCACCTTCTACTAATTTAATGGCATGCTTTTCTAGTTTTGTGCATCCTAAACCATGTTCTTCAAAAGTTAGAAACATTTTCTTGACTTCTTCCAAATTATTATGTTGGTCCTCTGTTAAGTCATGCATCTTGGTCTAGTTGGGAGTATTTGGATTATGGAATTTTTTAACCAGATCAAAATCTATCTCCTCTACTGGGAATATTGCTGGAGCGAATTCAAATATTTTCCAGAAATCAGCTCCCAGATATAAATCTTGTTCAAGATCGGGACACAGAACTAATTTCATCATAGCTGCTTTTCCCTGATATACAATTTCAACTTCTATAGTACCCAATATCCGATAATGCTGTCCTGATGCAGTAACCACGCTTGACACATACGATTCAAATTCAATCCTTTATTCTTCTATTAGTTCTCTACAATTCTTTCCTAATAAGCTAACTGTAGCACCAGATTCTAGGAGACCTCTAATTTCTTTGCCTTCGATTTTCACAGTCGCATACGGTCTAGGATCTTTCTTGTTATTGTACCCACAAATAGCCTCCGAGACAGAGTTTTCAAAGCTTTGTATTGATTTTGCTTGTTTCTCAGTTTTAGTATTCGTTGTTGCTTATTAAAAATTTTCTTATAATTTATGTTTTTAGTTCTTTCTTCATTTTTATTATTTTCATTGGTATTATTTTGGAAAATTTTTGCCTTTATTTTTCTATAATTCTCCTCTCTAACTTCCAATGGCAAATAATGTCGACGTTTAGCATAGTCTACTTCTTCATTGCTCCCAATTGACTGATTTAAGGGTTTACACCGGCGGGTTGTTCGGATGAACGTTGGTTCCCCGCTGTTACCACGTTCTTCCTCGAGTTTTCCGATCTACAATTAACGCATTTTGGGGCTGTAGTTTTTGGCTTTCCACATTTAAAACAGAAAAAAACCTCTTTGAGAGGACGTGCAATCACGAAAAACATGACCGGGTTTTTGGCAATTCCAACATACCAATGAGTTGCTAATTGCAGAAACATCTACAACTTCCTCAGGTTCTTCGAATACTTGATAATTGTTGGTATCGTTTTCATCGGTTATGGCATTTATTCTCATAGGCTTGTGTGTTGATGGAGCTTGTATGGGGGGTTGCTCCCGTTGAAAAAAGTTCGCTCTACCTCTAAACACTCTACCCTCAGCTGTTCAAGAGACGACACATTCATAGAATAGACGATGCTCGATAGATTTTTGCGTAAATTCTTCTTGACTAGGGAAATCATTTCAAATTCTGAAACAGGTCTTTCTAGCTTCGATCTCATCAAATTTATTTCGTGGAAAAAAGAATCAATTGACTCCCCTGGCATTTGTTTGCGTTCGAGTAGATCTCGCATTTCCTCGAAATAGGTGCGTCTAGTTTTAAACCTCTCGATTAAACCATGTTTTAAAGATTGCCAATCTGAAATACAATTATTACGTTGCTGTAGCCAAAACCATTCTACTGCAGGCCCTGATACTAGCAAGTGAAATTCATTTAGAATGTCTTCCCATGCTAAATCATAATGATGTTGGAAATATTCCAAGCGATATATAAAATCTTCTACACTTAGGCTGTTCGGTCTACCAGAAAAATGTATGCCAAACCTTTCGACTCTCGATCCCGGACCATCCGAAAACGTCATAATAGAGGGTGTGATGGTATTTCGCCGATGTAGGTTTGGGTTATAGTCCCTATTTTGAGGTGAAAACTGAGGTACGAAGTTATCATTAGATGGCATATACGTGTCAGATGGGCGCGAATACTTTCTTGTACTCTCAGGCTGAACTGTTGGATTTGCGGCAGTATTACGTCCATCAACGGAAATCCTTGAAACTGCCTCACTTAGTTTGTGTATGATTCCATACATCTTCTCCATCTCTTTGGTAACACTATCTTGTACCATTGAGTGTAAATTAGAAGTCGCATGGTTCAGGCTTTCTTGAACTAAGCTCCTAACCAGATTTTCTACTTCGATCGGACGAGTGGATGGATTTGTCTGTAAAACAGGCTGTCGGTTATCAGAATTGGTAATAGAACCTGACAGATCCCGAATCGTGGGTTCGACATTGGTAATTGGGTTTTGCATTGTTGGCTTTTTATTTAGTTTCGGCATTGGCGAAGAAATAGAAGATCTGCTTACATCAAATGTGAGTGATTTCTTTCACTCCTCTTTTTACTATTTTCTAATTTTTCGCTCATTAAAAAAATGTTTGCGAAGCACAAGAACTTAAAAATAAAAGAAAATAAAAACATATATACTGAAAATAGTTAACAAATAAAAATAGTACAACGAATCTAAATATGTAGGATAATAAAAAAAAGACAAAACTATAAAACACGAAAACTCATTTGCTGAATATGGTTCGATAAATAAAAAGGAACTAAAACAATAATAAATAATAAACAAATAAAATGAAAGCTTAAATATTTAAGAAAACTATCAATAAAAAAATTGTTTTCTCATGCGACACAAACAGACATACAGACGATAAACGGGTTTAAAAAACAAGCATAAAAAATTAAATAATAAATTAATAAAATATAATATAAAAATATGTATATAAAACAACAAAATAAAAACAAAGTTAGTTTACTTTCACAACACAATTACAAATATGGGAGGTAATAGGATGTAATCTCAGTTGTATGCGAGATAAAGTGTGTGGTATTTGCTATAATAAAAGTAAGTGTCCTTAAAAAAAGGTTGTTATGGCGTATTACATTGAAGAAACATTAAAACATTAAAGGAAATAACACCACGGCATTTTTCTTCCATTAAGACGAAACAAGATCTCGTGTTAAGAGAAATTGCACAATACAGTCAATGACACCCATGGTCACAGCAGATATTACACCTTCCCATATGTCATCCTTAATCTATCTAATCTAAAAGGACAGGAAACATGAAAAAACAGGTCATGAAAACAATACATTCATTGTTACAATTAACGAACAAGAGCTATTGCACTAGACCCTAACTTATGGAACGTAATATCCTAATTTCCTAATTACTTAACTAACTTTTATCACAGATTTTTTAAAAATATGTGGATGCAATATCCGTAAGCACTTTGAAAATTTAATATTATGTTTTAAAATATTTCACCCTATGGTCTATTATTCTGTGCGTAGATATTATTGCACAACGTATCTACTTATTTGTCCGCGTCATGTTAATGTTTTTGGCACCTTTGTTTTTGCACCGAGGAAGTGGCTGATGTTTTGTTGCCTTAAAAATTTTGGACGATCAGACAATAATCTTTGGTTTGGGCGCCATATTGTTACGTGCCACCTGATACGGCGCTATGGTGAGTTCCAACGTGCTCAGTCGGGGCACCGCTTTAGGGGTGAATTCCCAACCCTGCCACCATTAGCCCCAGGGGTCGAATATTAAAAAAGGAACACATGAAATAACAACAAACAAATCAAAATAAAACGACAAAACACATACCACCATAACACGGGAAATTGATGTTAATAATTCCCACACTTCGCCCACCCAACCTTGACCCTTAGATCCTCCTCAAAGATTTGAATTCAATTTTATAAGGGTCCCGTTTTCCACACACACTTATCTCACTTCAACATCATCCTATTTTCCTCCCTAACAAAAAAAACACTAGCAATTCATTTTAATCTAAACACTTAAACATTAAAACAATTTATTGCCTTCATTATTTTCTTGTCAGAATTCTAAATTTCTAACACCTGACACATCGATAAGTCAATACCTCGGACTACCGCCTTATCCTATTGAATTTCTGTCAACTTGGGCCTCTTTTGTAAATTATTTCCTCACCTAAAAGAGCTCTCTTATGTGGTTCTAAGAGACATTAACATTTGATCCCACAATAAACAAATTTCTAATAGGATTTTTCTGGGGTAACCCTACACTTGTCGCATTCTATCTGGCGTTAAAAACTTTTACAAACACAAATTAAATCTTATATACTAATCACTAAATACTAACATATACTTAAACTAACGTATAAATATTATTGCAGATTGTTTAAGAGTTCGGTGTTATTTTCAGATTTTCTAATCTTTTATTTATATTTTTCCCTTTTAGATATTAGTAAACACTCGGTCTCTGGGCATAAATATTGTAACCAAAGCGTTGCTCAAGGCCGGTAAGTAGCTCTTTTTTTTCTTTTTAAATATTGTTACCTGGTCAGCGTATACTTATTTAGTTTTTATCATTTCAGGTTTTTGGACACCACGGATTTTGGCACAAGAGATACTTCTGGCTGGTGCTGGACGGACATTTCAAACACAGGACTAACTTTGCTGTCGTTCCAGTACCAGGTTACTTGGCTTGGCTTAAGCCCTGTCATGGACACAATTATTTCCGCCAAGGAATTCAACATTAATTGGCTGACCTCCTCCGTTCATAGAATCGGAGGGGTCAGAGATGGTTCTAACGGTTGGTGTAAATGTTGGCGTTGCTTTAACTTGTTCGCACAACCGCATTCACACACAACAATAAAACACAAATGTTAATTAAACACAAAAACAAAATTTAATTAATTTTTTTTTTTTTTTTTTGGGAGATTTTCTTCAAATATCTTATATAGCAAAATAAAAAATATCTCCCCGTTATGCCTTTTATATGGCCGCAGCTATTTACAATTCTCCGGGATTCTCGTGCAATTTTCCTGATTCATCAAATTACCTTTGTCGTGCCTACTGAGCCCTACATTAGAGTTGTATTTATCGGGTTTATGTTTTCCACCGGTTGGCAACACTGATTTCTTCAACCTCTGCAACGAGCTTAACATATCCGGTTCACTTTTCCCTGACCGGCAGCAAGCAACCACATCATGCCGGGGACTTGTTGCTAATTATTTATTATACCCTCCACCATAGTATGGAGGGTATATTAAGTTTGTCATTCCGTTTGTAACACCTCGAAATATACATTTTAGACCCCACAAAGTATATATATTCTTAATCAGCATAAAATTCTATGTCGATTTATCAATTTCCGTCCGTCTGTCCGTCTATCCGTCTGTCCGTCTGTGGAAATCACTCTAGCTTCCGAACGAAATGAAGTAGGTTGATAAAATTTTACTCAAATGTGTACTATGTCTGCAGGACTTTTGGTATTGAAAATGGGCCATATAGGTCCACGTCTTCGGATAGCTCCCATATAACTGTACCTCCCGATATTCGGTATTTTGATGATTTTAGCTACATTATTTACCGGAATTGTTTCAAATTTGGTATTTAAAGTTTTTAATAGATACCACAGCATAAAACAGAAAATGGGCAATGTAGATCCACGTCTTCGTATAGCCCCCATGTAACGGTACCCCCCGATATTCGGTATTTTGATCATTTTAGCCACATTATTTACCGGAATTGCTTCAATTTTGGTATTTGAAGTTCATAATGGATACTACATCCTACGACAGAAAATAAGCCATGTAGGTCTACGTCTTCGTATAGCCCCCATATAACGGTACCCCGCAATATTCAGTATTTTGATGATTTTAGCGACATTATTTACCGGAATGGTTTCAAATATGGTATTTGAAGTTCGTAATGAATACTACAGCCTATCACAGAAAATTGTCTGTGCAGAACCACGCTTTCGTATAGCCCCCATATAACGGTACCCCCGATCTTCGGTATTCTCATGATTTTAGCGAACCTATTTACCGGAATTGTTTCAAATTTCGCATTTGAAGTTCGTAATGAATACTACAGCCTATGACAGAAAATTGTCTGTGCAGGTCTACGTCTTCGTATAGCCCCCATATAACGGTACACCCCGATATTCGGTATTTTGATGATTTTGGCGACATTATTTATCGGAATTGTTTCAAATTTCGCATTTGAAGTTCGTGAAGTTCGATATAACAGCCTATGAAAAAAAATTTTCTGTGCAGATCCACGTTTTATAACCACCTTGGTACCTCCCTATATTCGAGGATTTTGACGATTTTATCTACATTGTAAACAGATTTTTTTCAAGTTTCGCATTTGAATATTGTGATATAAGTTGCCTTGTGACAAAAGTTGCCTATGCAGGTCCACGTCGCCATATAGACTCTAATATACGGCTACATGATTTTAACAGAATTTTAAAATCCTTTTATTTATTTATTTATTTTTTTTTTTTTGAAAATTGTTAAATTCGTACCAAATGGAGGAGGGTATTCAAAGTTCGGCCTGGCCGAACTTACAACTTTTTTACTTGTTTTTTTTATACCCTCCACCATAGTATGGAGGGTATATTAAGTTTGTCATTCCGTTTGTTACACCTCGAAATATACATTTTAGACCCCACAAAGTATATATATTCTTGATCAGCATAAAATTCTATGTCGATTTGTCAATGTCCGTCCGTCTGTCCGTCTGTGGAAATCACTCTAGCTTCCGAACGAAATGAAGTAGGTTGATAAAATTTTACTCAAATGTGTACTATGTCTGCAGGACTTTTGGTATTGAAAATGGGCCATATAGGTCCACGTCTTCGGATAGCTCCCATATAACTGTACCTCCCGATATTCGGTATTTTGATGATTTTAGCTACATTATTTACCGGAATTATTTCAAATTTGGTATTTAAAGTTTTTAATAGATACCACAGCATAAAACAGAAGATGGGCAATGTAGGTCCAGGTCTTCCTATAGCCCCCATGTAACGGTACCCCCCGATATTCGGTATTTTGATCATTTTTGCCACATTATTTACCGAAATTGCTTCAATTTTGGTATTTGAAGTTCATAATGGATACTACATCCTACGACAGAAAATAAGCCATGTAGGTCTACGTCTTCGTATAGCCCCCATATAACGGTACCCCCCAATATTCAGTATTTTGATGATTTTAGCGACATTATTTACCGGAATGGTTTCAAATTTGGTATTTGAAGTTCGTAATGAATACTACAGCCTATCACAGAAAATTGTCTGTGCAGAACCACGCCTTCGTATAGCCCCCATATAACGGTACCCCCGATCTTCGGTATTCTCATGATTTTAGCGAACCTATTTACCGGAATTGTTTCAAATTTCGCATTTGAAGTTCGTGAAGTTCGATATAACAGCCTATGAAAAAAAATTTTCTGTGCAGATCCACGTTTTATAACCACCTTGGTACCTCCCTATATTCGAGGATTTTGACGATTTTATCTACATTGTAAACAGATTTTTTTCAATTTTCGCATTTGAATATTGTGATATAAGTTGCCTTGTGACAAAAGTTGCCTATGCAGGTCCACGTCGCCATATAGACTCTAATATACGGCTATATGATTTTAACAGAATTTTAAAATCTTTTTATTTTTTTTTTTTTTTTTTTTTTTTTTTTTTGAAAATTGTTAAATTCGTACCAAATGGAGGAGGGTATTCAAAGTTCGGCCTGGCCGAACTTACAACTTTTTTACTTGTTTTTTTTATACCCTCCACCATAGTATGGAGGGTATATTAAGTTTGTCATTCCGTTTGTTACACCTCGAAATATACATTTTAGACCCCACAAAGTATATATATTCTTGATCAGCATAAAATTCTATGTCGATTTATCAATGTCCGTCCGTCTGTCCGTCTGTGGAAATCACTCTAGCTTCCGAACGAAATGAAGTAGGTTGATAAAATTTTACTCAAATGTGTACTATGTCTGCAGGACTTTTGGTATTGAAAATGGGCCATATAGGTCCACGTCTTCGGATAGCTCCCATATAACTGTACCTCCCGATATTCGGTATTTTGATGATTTTAGCTACATTATTTACCGGAATTGTTTCAAATTTGGTATTTAAAGTTTTTAATAGATACCACAGCATAAAACAGAAAATGGGCAATGTAGGTCCACGTCTTCGTATAGCCCCCATGTAACGGTACCCCCCGATATTCGGTATTTTGATCATTTTTGCCACATTATTTACCGAAATTGCTTCAATTTTGGTATTTGAAGTTCATAATGGATACTACATCCTACGACAGAAAATAAGCCATGTAGGTCTACGTCTTCGTATAGCCCCCATATAACGGTACCCCCCAATATTCAGTATTTTGATGATTTTAGCGACATTATTTACCGGAATGGTTTCAAATTTGGTATTTGAAGTTCGTAATGAATACTACAGCCTATCACAGAAAATTGTCTGTGCAGAACCACGCCTTCGTATAGCCCCCATATAACGGTACCCCCGATCTTCGGTATTCTCATGATTTTAGCGAACCTATTTACCGGAATTGTTTCAAATTTCGCATTTGAAGTTCGTAATGAATACTACAGCCTATGACAGAAAATTGTCTGTGCAGGTCTACGTCTTCGTATAGCCCCCATATAACGGTACACCCCGATATTCGGTATTTTGATGATTTTGGCGACATTATTTATCGGAATTGTTTCAAATTTCGCATTTGAAGTTCGTGAAGTTCGATATAACAGCCTATGAAAAAAAATTTTCTGTGCAGATCCACGTTTTATAACCACCTTGGTACCTCCCTATATTCGAGGATTTTGACGATTTTATCTACATTGTAAACAGATTTTTTTTCAATTTTCGCATTTGAATATTGTGATATAAGTTGCCTTGTGACAAAAGTTGCCTATTTTAAAATCCTTTTAGTTTTTTTGAAAATTGTTAAATTCGTACCAAATGGTGGAGGGTATTCAAAGTTCGGCCTGGCCGAACTTACAGCTTTTTTACTTGTTTTTAAATAAAAAATCACATGCAACAAGTAAGACATATATTTAAATTTTTCAGGTCCAATGGTGGAATATTGAAAGACCATTATGTTATTAAACATTACAGGAGAATAGAGTTTCAACAACGAGGATCTCCCCATTTAAATGGAATATACTGGTTAAATAACGCACCTCAATTAAACATTTCTGAAGATGCTACATTCCAACCAGAAGCGGACTTCATTGGCCCCTTCATCTCTATTGACATTAGAAATATGGAGTATGACAAGCTTCATATGGATTTATATTTGATAGGGTTTTAGTAGGATTACGATTCCGCAGCTGTAGCAACACCTTCTGCCCACATATTTTGGTTCAGTTTCGCATGGACTAACATCGATCGCACATCTCCACTAAGTGGTGATTTGCATGTTCGGCAACACCGTTTTGTTGCGGTGTATAAGCTATTGTTAACTGACGCAGAATACCCTGTTCCTGTACTATGGACGATATATTAAGTTGGCCATTCCGTTTGTAACTCCTCGAAATGTCCATGTTAGATCCAACGATGTTTATATATTCTGGATCAGCGTAAAATGCTAAATCGATCTTTCAGTGTCCATCTGTCTGTCTATCTGTTGTAATCACGCTATCTTTTGAACGATGTGAGATAGAAGGCTAAAATTTTGCACACAGGTATATTATTTCAGTAGGCAGGTTAAGTTCGAAAGTGGGCCGTGTCGGTTCATGTTTTCGTATTTGATGATTTTAGCTAAATTTTTCTCCGGAATTGTTTCAAATTTCGTATTTGAAGTTCGCAAGAGATTCTACAGCATATGACACTAAATTGCATGTTCAGGTCCACGTCTTCGTATGGC